GAACTGGGACCATCAATTTTGTAAAAAAAAATAAATTAATAAAATAAATTAAACAAAAAAAAAAGGATTTAAAACAGAAAAAGTACTGTGTTTTCTGATTATATGTGAAAACAGCCTGCCATAAAACAATGGTTATATGATACATTGACGTGCCATACATGTCGTTACCTATAAAACACAATGACCTGCCATATCTCATTTATTATATGATTGAAGGTTGTGCTATAATTGTTGTTTATGATACAACCAGCCATATTTTTAAATTATATAACATAACGGCRTGCCATACAGAGTTAATTATGCTACAACAGCATGTCAGACACATTTAATTACATGATWTATTTTTGAACTTTTATCACTTTCAAATCTCTTTTATTTGTCAGCTCCAAAAATTTTCTTTTAGTTTCAAATTTTATTTATTTATTTTTAATAAACTTTATGTCCCCAAATCAGCTCCACGGTCCTCTGTCCATCACAGTCCAGGATACTGGATTCAAARACTTTTATGAAGGCTCAATTCTAGTGTTGTATCTTTTTAAGACCATACATACATTGATTTTACCTTTTTTAAAACAAACATTAATTTTTATTTTACTAGACTCAAACCTTTCACTTTCTCTGACATTAACAATAAAGGTTTTACAGATATTAAAATTAGCTCATTTTATTTTGAGTTTCTTTATTCATCAAGAACTTTTAGATCAACAATGAGTCAAAGATATTTCACCACAAAGATATGGTGRGCTCACTGACAGTCAATTAATAGCAAAAATAGGATTTTGACTTTGTCCACAGAGTAATCTTTTTTAATATTAGAAAATGCACATTTAATAAAATGTGTTTTGCTAACACTGATGTAAAATCCAGATGTTTGTTCTGTTAAAAACACAAACAAGTCTGTTTTCATTCATAACTCTGGACCTTGTTCCTCACACAGTWCTCTGGGTTTTTTAAGCACTTTGTGGCAGAGTTCTTACCGGGRCTGCAGGGCCTGGACCGAGCTGAGGCTGCCCTGCCCACCAGGTCCAGCTCACCGGGTTTATGACACGCTGTCATGTCCGAGCTCCCGCGATGAGACGAAACCTCCTCTACGCAAAAGGACCCGGACGGGCCGGGTCTCGGCTCTCCGGCCTCTACGACCTGGCTTTTGACGTCGGCCATCTTGCCGTGGACTTCGGCCATCTGGGCCTTGAGGCGGATCAGGACACCGGAGTCCGGAGCCGAACGTCGGACCACCTGGGGGCGTCGCTCTCGTTCTTTTCTCGAGTGGGCATGAGCTGAAGAAAAACGGACATTTGGCAGGTTTGAGTCTAGATCTGATCAGGTCCGGTCTTCTTTCTAATGATTTAATTTAGTCTAAGATGATAAAATGATCGCAGCTCTGATGGATTTGTACCTTGGCCATGCAGCAGAGACACTGGTGGTCGAGGCTGGAGGCCCCACAGAGACTCCACGCTGCTGCGCTCCTTCAGGTCCAGAAGCTGGATCAGGATAACCGGGTCGATCTCCAGGAGGCTGCTGCCGCCCGGCCCAACGGCGCCGCCGGCTGCTGCAGCACCTCCGCCACTGGAACCACGGGCGGCGGAACCGCGATGTAACGAGCGCATGCTGGAGCTGAACCCACCTGCAGAGTTTCAGATCCACAAACCAAATGTTACTTTTATTATTTTTTATCAATAAATACAGTTTTATCAAAGCAAGTTTCTCAGTTTAAAAA